TGCGGTGGCCGGGAGCGGCCACTGCACTCCAGTCTGGGCGACAGAGTGAGACTCCAACTCAAAAATAAAAAAATTAAAAAAGAAAGAAATTGTAGAGGTGAAAGCATAATTAACTAAAGTTTAAAATTCATTAGAGGGGTGTGACAGCAGATCGAGCAGGCAGAAGAAAGAATCCACAGACTCTAAGATAAGTCAACTGAAATTATCCAGTCTGAGGAGCAGAAATAAAAATAATTTTTAAAAAATGAACAGAATCTAACAGACCTGTGGGACACCATCAAACACACTACGCATAATGGAAGTCTCAGAAGGAGGAAAAAAAGAATATCTGAAGAAATAATGACTGAAAAATATCCAAAGTTGATTTAAAAAATTAATCTATACATCCAAGAAGCTAAATAAAATGTAAGTAGAACAAACTCAAAGAGATGCACACCAAGACAAATTATAATCAAATTGACAAAAGTCAAAGAGAGCATCTTGGAAGCAAAAGAATAGAAATGACCCATAGTGTGCAAGGATTCCTCATTAATACCCATAGCTAATTTCTCATCAAAAGCCATGAAAAACATAGGCAGTGAGATGATATATTTAAAGTGCTGGGGGAAAAAAACACTCAACCAAGGTTTCTATATACAGCAAGACAACCCATCAAACCTGAAAGTAAGGTAAGAAAGGTAAGAAAATTAATCACTTGTAGGCTTACTTTACAAGAATAGCTGAAGGGAATTATTTATGTGGAAATGAATAAATAATTCCTCTAAACCAAAGAAATAAAAAACACATAGGTAACTACAGCAGCCAACATTATGAAATTTTTGGTTTGTAATTCCTCTTTTCTTACTAATAACTTAAAAGACAAAAGCATAAAAGAATAATTATAAACCTATGGTAAGGGGCCTAATGTATAATAATGTAATTTGTGGCAGTAACAGTTTAAAACGAGTGAGACAGAAGTGCATACAAGCAGAGGTTTTTGTGTTATTTTTGAAGCTAGCCTGCTAGTAACTTAAACAAGGCTGTAAATTTAAGATGTTAACTGAATTACCTAGAGTAACCATTTAAGAAAACAACTTTAAAAATATACAGGAAGCCGGGCTCGGTGGCTCAACCTATAATCCCGTGCCTTTGGGAGGCTGAGGTGAGTAGATTGCTTGAGCCCGCAGGTCCGAGTCCCACTTGGGCAGCGAGACCTCATCTATACAATAAATCAAAAAATCAGCTGGGCGTGGTAGCACATCCCTGTAATTCCGGCTACTTGGAAGGCTGAGGCGGAAGGATCGCCGGAGCCCAGCAGGTCAAGGCTGTGGTGGCCAGGAGCAGCCACTGCACTCCAGTCTGGGCGACAGAGTGAGACTCCAACTCAAAAAAACAACAAAAAAAATACACACACACACACACACACACACACACACACACACAGGAAAGGAAATGAGAAAGGAATCAATACTATACATAACCCAAAGAAAAAAAATGACATATAGAAAACAACAAAATAACAAAGTTTTCCTTAATCAGTAGTTGCATTAAATGTAAAAAGATTAAACTATTAAACTGTCAAATTATAAGTAACTAGCAGAATATGTAAACAAACCAAAAGATCCATCTACAATGATGTCTACAAATGATTGATTTTAGATTCAAAGATATAAATAGGTTAAAAATGAAAAAACAGGAAAAAGACTTTCCATGCAAATAGAAACAAAGAGCCAGAGTAGTTATACTAATATCAGACAAAATAAACTTTAAATCACAGTTGTTTTAAAAGACAAAAAAGTCAATCTATCATGAAAATAAGATACTTATAAACTTATGTGACCTAATAACAGTGACCCAAAATGTATGCAGCAAAACCTGACAGAACTGAAATGAAAAAGTGACAGCTGTGCAATAAATATTTGAAAATTCAATATGCTACTTTCAATAGTGGATAGAATATCTAGATAATCAACAAGAAAATAGAGGATTTCAACACTATAAGTCAACTAGATATAGCAGACATCTATACAACACTCTAATCAATAGCGACCAAATATATGTTTTTCTCAGGTGCACATGAAACATTCTCCAGGATACACTACGTTAGATCACAAAACAAATCCTATACATTTTTAAAAAGTGAAATCACACAAAATATCTTCTCTGACCACAATAGAAAGAAACTAAAACTCATAATAGAAAGAAAACCAGAAAATTCACAAATAGGAGTAAATTAAGTAATACATTCTTAAATAACCAGATTTTATTTTAATCCAAAATACACATAACAAAGAACACAGCATGATAAAACTTAAGGGATGCAGTGAAAGCAATGCTCAGAGGAAAATCTATAGCTGTACACTCACAGTAAAAAAGATCTTAAGTAAACAACCCAATCTTCCACTTAGAAAACTAAAAAATTAAAGTAAAACTTCAGCCTGGCAGATGGAAGGAAATAATAAAGAGCAGAGATAAAACAGAGAACAGAAAAAACTAGAGAAAATGTATTAAATCAAAAGGGAGTTCTTTCACAAAACAAAAAATTAACAAATCTTGGAAAA